TCACCATCACACTCGTCATCATCATCATCAGCATCATAAGCATCATCATCAGCATTATCATAATCATCAAAATCATCATCATCATCATCGTCATCGTCATCATCATCATCATCATCATCATCATCATCTGCATGCATCATCATGAACATCCTCATCAGCAGCATCATCATTATCCTCATCCGAATCCTCACCATCAATCACCATCACCATAACCATTACCATCACCATCGTCATCAGCATCATCATCATCGTGAGCAGCATCATCATCAACAGTATCAACATCATCACCATCACCATCACCATCACACTCACTGTCATCATCATCAAAATCATCACGATCATCATCATCATCATCATCACCACCATGATCATCATCGTCATAATCGGCAGAATGATCTTCCGCAGCATCACCATCAGCATCATGATCATCAACATCAACATCACCACCCTCATCATGATCATCATCATCATCATCCTGATCATCATCAGTATAGTTAATCGCTAGCATCATCATTATCTTCATCTTCATCTTCAACTTCATCTTCAACTTCATCCTCTTCATCATCCTCATCCTCATCCTCATCATCACCGTCGTCGTCGTCGTCGTGGTCGTCGTCTTCGTCTTCGTCGTCGTGGTCGTCATCGTCGTCGTCGTCACAGTCGTCGTCGCCTTCGTCGTGATCGTCGTCGTGGTCGTGGTGGTCGTCGTTATCGTCGTCGTGGTCACCGTCTTCGCCGTCGTCGTCGTCGTCGTAGTGATCCTCGTCGTCGTCATCGTCATCCTCACCCTCATCACCGTCACTGCTAGTGGTCAATGGGCCCCTGGGGGCCAGGGCTCATCATCTTCCATCCCAACATGTCAAGAACAACAATGTTCCTAGAGTTCGGCACCTGCGGAACGTTATCCGGCCATGGGGCCATGAAACAGGGACCCGTGACGAAAAGCTGGTCCTGGGGAAGCGGTCGGGAGCCCTGCGGCTGTGCAGTGGAAAACAAACATATCGGAGGATATCTGTTTCATCATCATCATCATCATCATCATCATCAGCATCATCATCATCATCATCATCATCAGCATCATCGTCATAATCATCATCGTCATCGTCGTCACCATCATCATCAGCATCATCATCACCACCACCATCATCATCATCAGCAGCAGCATCATCAGTATCATCATCCTCATCATCATCAGCATCAGCATCATCATCATCAGCAGCAGCATCAACATCAGCATCATCATCATCATCATCTCCCTCATCATCATCACCATAATCTTCACACCAGCAGCATCATAATCATGATGCTGATCATGATCACCGTCATCATCCTCATCGTGGTCGTGATCATTGGCATGACCATGGTCAAAACAATCACCATCATCATCATAATCATCACCGCCATGCCCATGACCATGAACACTATCTTCACCATCAGCAGCATGAATCATGCTGCTGATCATGATCATCGTCGTCGTAATCCTCGTGGTCGTGATCATGATCATGATAGTGGTAATCAGAATCACCACCATCACCTTCGTGATCACAAGCATGATGACGGTCGTCATCATCATCATTAGCATCATCAGCATCATCATCATCATCATCATCATCATCGTCGTCGTCACCGTCGTCATCGCCATCGTCATCGTCGCCGTCATCATCATCAGCAGCATCATCATCACCTTCATCACAATAACCATCATCAATATCATCACCAACATCAACATCATCATAGCCATCATCACCGTCATCACCGTTATCACCATTGTAACAATCGATCACCATCCACACTATGGCCAGCATCATCGCCATACTCATGATCATGATCATGGCCACCATCACCATTTATCGTCATCATCATCCTCCTCCTCCCCCTCCTCCTCCCCCTCCTCCTCCTCCTCCTCCTCCTCCTCCTCCTCCTCCTCCTCTCGCCGCCGTCGCCGTCGTCAATCTCATCGTCATGCTCCCTCCCTCATCCTCCGCCTCCTCCGTAACCCTCCGCCCCCGCTCCGGGTCGCTCCCGGCCACGCCCCTGCCCTGCACGAGTGCCCACGGCCCTGGCGCCCGCAGGCCACTGCGATGCGCGCCCGTGCCCCTGCTCGCCCTCGCGGTGGCGAGCTCGTCGACCTCGCGGTGGGACCGCTCCGCCACGGCACCGAGGCGTCCTCCGTTGGCGCCTTCCTCGCCGAGATGTGGCTCTCCGCGCGGAAGAGGTCGGAACCCCTGGACCCGCACTGGGGAGGCCAAAAGGTACCGATACCGCTACCCCCCGGACCTCTCCTGGGGTGCCTCCCGACCAGAATCTCGGGGCGAACCCAGCGGTGGCGACGAGGAATCCTCCGAGGAGGCCCGGAGAGGAGAGAACGGCCGAAGGGTGGAGGCATGGGCACCCGTTCCTCCTCTGAGGCACGTAGGGTTCGCATATGGCCCCCTAACCCCTGAGGAGGAGGAGGAGGAGGAGGAGGAGGAGGAGGAGGAGGAGGAGGAGGAGGACTGGACCCGCACGTCGGCGCCGGGGTCGCCGCAGAGTGTACCGTCCATCACCGCCGGGCCCGTCGACCGAGAGGCGGCCCCCGCCCAGCTCCCCCCGCGCCGCGGGAGGAGCTGCGGCGAGCAGGCCCACGGCCGCGCCCGCGGCCTCCCCGGGGGCCCTCGCTGGGCCGTGTCCCCATCCATGCGCCCTGGGAGCTCTCCAGAAGCTCCCTCGGACGCTCCTTCCAGGAGCCTCCAAAGTGAAGGGGCCCAAGGATACACAAATAAATGCGCACAAATGGAAAGATTCCCCATATCTTCCCATATTTTTAGGGTTTTTGTCTTCCCCCCCACCTCCCATATTTTGGCATATTTCCCTGGGAGTCGACGATGAATTGTGTCTGTGTGTTTCTTTCCCTCCTGACAGAGCTCCGTCCAGCTGCTCTGGAGGGCCCTCCTGGCGCTCCGCTGTCCGGGTTTGGACGCCACGAGCTGCGGCGAACGAGTGCTGCTCGATCTCGGCCTCCGGGGGCCCTCGCTGGGCACCGGGGCCGGTGTCTGTCCTCGGAGCTGGCGGTCGCAGAAAACGGGTGCAAGACCGGGCGGGCCACGCGCGGGAGGAGTTGTGCCCAGCATGCAGACGGCAACAGTGCAGAGCGCTTATGGTTTTGTATCGGGGGGTACGAAAGGTGCGTCTGGCCCAAGATGCCCACGCTCTTCGCGCCATCTTGGAGCTCCTTGGGCCCCCTGGGCCTCGTGAGAGGTGGAGGAGGAGGAGCAGGAGGAGGAGGAGGAGGAGGAGGAGGAGGAGGCGGCACAAGGGCGCGAGCAGACGCGCGCGCAAGGGCTCTCTCCCATCCCCACCCCAAGGAGGAGGAGGAGGAGGAGGAGGAGGAGGAGGATACTGCTGAGGAGGAGGAGGAGGAGGGCACCTCTGCCCACCCACCCCCGCCCGCTGAGATTGCCACCCTGCCCGTGCAGAATGGCGCGATCCTGAGCTGGAGGCCAAAGCCTCCAGCATGGCCTCAGCAGGAACGCCCTCGCACGGGATCGTCCTCCCTCGGCGGGCTGAGGCTGACTCAGTAACGAATCTGGGCTGTGTGTCGCTTTGCTGGATCGCCCTAAGCATGCAACGTTTGATGGTTTGCCTCTCTGGGGTGACCTCTGCAACGAAGCACAACATCGATAGCGGATTGGCCGGCATGCCCAAACATGCATCGACAAGGCTGAAACTGAGAGGACAGACCCTGCCCCCCCCGCCCCAAAGGAACAAAAAGCAAGCAGCGGAGAAAATAAATCGCACCGTTGAGTGCCCGATGTGGGATCCGACTGAGCATCCCACCCCCATCATCGTAACCCATCACCTATGTGAAACAAGGATGCCGCCGCACAGCATCGCACGGTTCATGGGATGATCCGAATTGAGCGGCTCCAGCCACGTGCCTTCAAAATCCGTGCGAGCGGCCATCAATGGCCACGACCGCTTGATCCTCTGTCCCCTAGGCAAGGGGAGCTTCCCTGCGCGCGGCTGGCAAAGTTGCTGGTTGTTGATATCACCACATGCTCCTGCCAAGTTCCTGGCCTGGGTGACCGCATAGGCACCACAGGTGTTACAGAACAAGCATGGGGCATTTGAGCGCTGAACCCGCGCCAGTCAGAAGTTGTGGCTGCGCACCTTCGTCGAACAGTGTTGGGTGGTGAAGGTGACGACCGCCCTTCTCCTCCCCCTTCTCCTCCTTTTTCTACGTTCGGCAAACATGAGGCGGGGCCTGTTGCGTAATCCTCCTCCTCCTCCTCCTCCTCCTCCTCCTCCTCCTCTTCCTACTAATCCATCCTCTCCCGCTCGCTCCTATCCGCCCCCCCCGGGCGGGCCTTCGCTCGCTTGTGGGCCACGCCGATGGAGCCGCCGTCGGCGCAGACCTCCGGCAGCGAGGCGCGAGGGCAGGGACGGGCGCGATCGTGCGGGAGGGACTCGGGAGTGGGGGGCGGGGGGAGGAGGGTAAAGGGGGGGGGGGGGGGGGGGAGGGGCATGGGAGGGCAGAGGGGGTCTCGTCTCGCCTCGGAGCCACTCCACTCCAGCAACCGCCCGCGGCTTTTGCGGGGCGCGGGCGCCGAGCTCCGGAGCAGGCGGGCTGCACCACCTCCGCCTCCGCAGGCAGCCCAGGGCGCCGCCGTCAACCCGCTCGCGACGGCTCTCGCTGCGAAACGCGCGGCCGCGGACGAGCCGAGGGGCCGCGAGCCGGGCCCGCGAGCCGGCGCCAGGGGCCGCGCCCGGTGATGTCCGCTCTGGGCTCGGGGGCAATGCCATGGCACCGATCCCCTCTCTCGTGATTCGTCGCTGGGGTGCCCGCCGTGCATGTGCAAATGGCGGCACGGGCGGGTTGCGTTTGGCGTCGAGGGAGGAGGGACGGATGGATGAGGAGGCGGGGGGGGGCAGGATGAGGGTGGGAGAATACGAGGATGGGGAAGTATGGCAGAGAAATGAGGAGAAGGCAAGGGTGGAGGGCAAGGGAGAGGCTATGGAGCAAGAGGGCAAGGGTGGAGGGCAAGAGTGGGAGGAGGAGGAGGCTATGGAGGGAGAGGGCAAGGGTGGTGGAGGGAGGAGGAGGGAGAGGGACAGGATAGGGAGGGGGTGAGGGGAAAAGTTAGCGAGGAGTCGGAGGGGAGGGGGAGATGCAGGGGGAGGTGGTTTGGAAAGAAAGGAAGGAGAGCGAGAGAGAGAGAGAGAGAGAGAGAGCAAAAGGGAGGAGGAAGTGGGAGGAGATGGGGAGGGGAGGGATCCCTGGGGGGGGAACATTCGGATAGGACCCCCGAGGTGTGGCTGCCGCAGAAGGAGCTGCGGGAATCCCGCGATCTGAGCTCACCCTAGGCCGCCAACGAAGCCGTTCAGCGACGAGATGGCCAGCTGAGCGCACCTGAGCGCATGGCAGTCAGTGATGCAACGGAGGCAACTGTAACTGTAACCTTCCCTCCTGCTCCTCCTCCTCCTCCCCCCTCATCATCCTCGCTCCTCGCTCCCCTTCTTCTCCTCCTCCTGCTCCTCCTCCTCTTCCTCGTCATCATCTTCCTCCTCCTGAAATTACCCAGAAGTTGTCCGAAATTGTCCGAAAGATCGCCCGTCCCCTCCACCGGCTGTTCTCTCTCACACACACAGGATTTCAAACCTTGATGATTCGTATGGCCTCTGTCAACACCAGTGTTTCTGGTGTTTCAAAATGGTGCTCCCGCTGCAGCGTGGGCCTCAATTTCGGATCGGCGTTTTGCTCCCGTCGTTCAGAATGGCGCTCTCGCCCCAGCGAGAGCTACTTTTCTGGATCCGAATATTGCTTCATTGCGGTCACCCCATCATTCCCCCATCTCCGCCTTCCCCTGGTCGTCCTGTTCCTTCCGCTCCTTCCACTCCAAATTCATGCTGCTGCTGTTCGTCTCGCCCCAGCGCGGGCCACTTTTCTGAATACAAGTATTTCTTCATCGTTGTCGGCCCCCTCATTTCGCCTCCTCCGCCTTCACCTGTTCCTCTTTTCCCACCGGATCCTTCCGCTGTAGTTCCTGCTGCTGCTGTTCGTCCTCATCCTTTTCCTCCCGCCCATCCTGATGTTCACCCGCCAACCCCCTCCTTCTCTTCCTCCTCCTCCTCCTCGTCCTCCTCCTCCTCCTCTTCCTCTTCCTCTTCCTCTTCCTCCTCCTCCTCCTCCTCCTCCTCCTCCTCCTCCTCCTCCTCCTCCTCCTGTGCACGCAGCTTCCATTTTTCTGATTGCGCATGAGACGAAGTGGTCTTTCTGTGTGAGACATCCTCCTTCTCCTCCTCCTCCTCCTCCTCCTCCTTCTCCTCCTCCTCCTCCTCCTCCTCCTCCTCCTCTTCCTCCTCCTCCTCGTGCACGCATCTCCCCTTCTTCCGATTGCGCACAAGACGAAGTGGTCTTTCTTTGTGAGTCGCAGGTCGGCTATGATAGGCAGGCGTCCACGGATAGAGAACTCTCAGCGCCATGGGGTGGGATGGGAGGGAGGACTCGGATGTCAGATGAGGCGCGAGCGCACCTGGCTTGCCCCCTCCCCCTCGTCCTCTTCTTTTCCACGCCCCCCTCATCCCTCCTCCCTTCTCAGTCCTCGTTCCGGCCCGAGCTCCGTGTCGCTGGGCGCCAGCGTCCCCTCGGGCGCCCGCCTGCAGCCCCATGGTGCCCGATGGCCACGCACCAGCGCCGCTCGCTGGCGAACGAGCTGCGGATCGCCCGCGGCGCGGCCCCTGCACCGCACGGCGCGGCGGGCCTCGCGCGGGGGCACCAGCGCGGCAGCCTGCCGCATGCTGCGGACCGCGGGGGGCCTGGCCCGCGCCGCGGTGGCCGCGCGGCGGGCCCGCGAGGGCCGTGCGGCTTCGGCCTCGCCGCCACGGCCGGTGGCGCCCGCAGCACCGCCAGCCGCCCCGGCGGCGGATGGCCCGGCCGGAGGTGGCCCCGCGCCCAGGCGGCGGTGCCGCCGCCGCGCGCGACGCGCCAGGGCAGGCGCTGGTGGTGCAGCCTTGATGGAGCTGGAGGGGGGGCGGGGAGGGCGCCGTCGACGAGCTGCCCGACGGCTCCTGGGCGGATGCGCCGCCTGCCGAGCGCCGCCCGCTTCCTCGAGATGGCGCTGCGGACGCGGTGGCCTTTCGCCGAGCGTCGGGGCAGGAGGCGGATGCAGCCGTCGGGGGTGGAGGAGCCCGCGGGGCTGCGCCGCGAAGGGGCCTCTCCTTGAAGACGCGGGCGGACGAGCTGGCTCTGCGGTTCGGCGCGGCTCCCGGCGATCTTCGCGCCCTCGGTGAGGCTGGTACAGCGCCCGCCCACGCCTGGAGAGGCTCGGACCACGACGTGCTGCGGCGCGCCAGCGATTGGAACATCAGCCTCGCCGAGCACTGCCTCAGCCAAGCTTGCCCGCCCAGTTCGGCCCGCCTGGGCCCCACCGCCGCCCATGGTTGAGCCTCTGACGCACGCGCGGGGTGCGCAGTGGGTGATCCCCGGAGGGCTTTTCCCGTCGGTCGGCACCTCGTGCGAGCCTCTCCCTAGGAGGAGGAGGAGGAGATGGAGGAGGACGACGAGGAGGAGGAGGAGGAGGAGGAGGAAGACGAGGAAAAAGAGGTGGTGGAGGAGGAGGAGGAGGAGGAGGAGGACGCGGAGGAGGAGGAGGAGGAGGAGGAGGAGGGAGGGAGGAGGAGGAGGAGAAAGAAAGAAGGAGGAGGGGTGGCGGGCGGCGTCGGGCTCCACATGTGGCGGTGGCGTGCGCGGCCCTTGCAGGGGGGGTGCTGCGCCGCCTGCCGACCTCTGCGGGGCCCGACGGCGTTCGAGTCACGGCGGCCGGGGCCCAGTCGGTGCCCGCGTCCTTCCCTCCTCCCTCCTCCATCCTCCCTCCCTCCCTCCTCCTCCCTCCCCCCTCCCTCCTCTCCTCCTCCCCTCCTCCACCTCCTCCTCCCTCCTCCCCCTCCTCCCTCCTCCCTCCTCCCTCCTCCCTCCTCCCCCTCCTTTTTCTTCTCCTCCTTCTCGGCCCAGGATTTGTCTCACCGCGAGAGCACTCTTGCAGGCAACAGCTCTGGCAGAGTCCCTGACCTCGCCGCATACACTAGCCGTATAATGCAGTAGTGTGTAGCGGGAGGCCCGAAGGGAGGGAAGGCCGTCCTGCGAGCTTGGCGTGAATTGCTCCGTGGCAGTTCAAGCAGAGACCAACCAGCCAAGAAGGAGAGAATGGATGACTCATCAGCAACATTAGCCATGAACTTTCAGAGGTCCGCGCACATCTCTTAGATCGACACATGACCACTCTCCCTGCGCTGGGGGCTGCGCTGGAGGGGCCGCCAGGGGGTGCAGCGCCAGTCGAAGAAATCCGCACGGACCTCCGAATGACTATGCTTACTCCGACATTGCTGATTCGAGGGGGAGGGAGGCCGAACGTGAATCGGGTGCGCCGAATATTGTAGAGGGCAGAACATCCACCCCGATAACAACCACCCCGACACGCGAAGCCGTTTAGCAAACGCTCCCGAAGAAGGAATCAAACAGGGCATGGCCTTTTTGGTGAACGCCCAGGGCCGTTTCGTAAATGCCAGCTGTCCGGCCCGGGCGGTTTGTTCCTCCCTTGATAGGGGCCAGGGAGAGGAGGAGGAGGAGGAGGAGGAGGAGGAGGAGGAGGAGGAGGAGGAGGAGGGAGGGAGGAGGAGGAGGAGGGAGGGAGGGAGGAGGAGAAGGAGGAGGAGGAGGAGGGAGGGAGAGGAGGAGGAGGAGGAGGAGGAGGAGGAGGAGGAAGAGGAGGAGGAGCAGCAGGAGCAGGAGCAGGAGAAAGAAGGCGATGTGCGCACCGTGGCCCCATGGCCAGGCCTGTGCACTGGCGGCGCGGACGAGCGGGGGCCAGAGAGGCTGGTGCAGAGAGGACGAGCGGGGGCCATAGGCCATCAACTCCCCAGAACTCCAACAAATTCTTTTTAAATTTAACACGATTTCTCAATTGTCTAATAAAGCTGCTGACCATTGATGCAATTTAAACGACAAGTTATTCTAAGTCCCCGCCTCCGGTTTTTCGCTATTCTTACTCACGACTTGCCCTCTGGAAGTCTGGACCGCTTCCCCCGGGCCGGCGCTGCGTCCCGAGTCGTGCCTGGCGGCCATGGGCCCGGGGAGGGCCCCCAAGAGTCTGCGGACGGCCCCTCTGCGCGCTCCCCCCCCTCCCTCTACCAGCCCGTCAGCTGTCGTGCTACCGCAAGGAACGTGGCCGCGGCGAGCCTCGGCCACGACCAGGGTCCCCGAGCAAGCTCTGAGGAGCGGCCCCCAAAAAACATGAGGAACGCTAACTACGGCAGCTTCACGTCGTGACGACCTGGGCGTTGGTGTCTGACACCGCGTGAGTTGAGCGATCGCGGCATTCCGATAGCGCATCAGGGATCTACGGACCCGGGTCCATCCAGACCCGGGTCGGTCAGGCTGCGCAGGATCCTGCAAAATCCTGCAGGCTCCTGCACCCAATCCTCAATACACCCATGGCTCTGCAGGATCCTGCAAGATCCAGCGCTCTGACGGACCCCCGTTTGCATTGACACCCGTTTCCTGAGTCCCGAGCGCAGATCGTTCGGTATCGGTCGGCTCCAGGCCCCTGGCGGCGTTCAGCCTCGAAGGCCCGCGCTAGGGTCGCCGCTGCGTCGGCACGACATGAACCTGCCGTAGATGAGGAACGAAGCTCAGCTCTCCCTTTTTTGGCCCCCAACAGCGCCTGGGTGCACGAGGCGCACTGGAGGAGCAACCATGGAGGGGCCTCGGAAACAGCGAGCCGCTTCCGGACCCGAGCTGCCCCTTCCTGCAGCATCCTGGCTGCAGTCTCCTCCCCAAGACCTCCTTCTCACCCGAAGGGTGGTCCTGATGGGGAACGTTCTTTACCAGCCTGGAACATATCCCTATCCCTATGCTGGGCATCTCCTCATCGCGATGCCAATCTTGGGGATCCCCTTGCTTTTTGAGGGCGCATCCCCAAGATTGTCATCGCCTTTTGGCGTGTCAATCTTAGGGATAGGGATAAGTTCGAGGCTGGAAAGTTCTGGGTAGTTAAGGGGGGGGGACCGGCTCAAATGGGGAAACAACGAGCTGGAATCGGCGATATACCCCCGATGGCGAAACCGCGCACGGTTCTGGGCGGGGCGAGCTTTCGGGCCCCTATCGACAATCCATGGGCGATCGGGGCTCGAGGCGTCCCTGCCCCTGAGACGATCTCCCCTGACGTTGCCGAGCGTCCCCCTCCGGGCGGAGGCGGAGGAGGTGGAGGAGGAAGATGGAATTAGGAGGAGGAGGAGCAGCAGAAGAAAGAGGCAGGAGGAGGAGGAGGAGGAGGAGAAGGAGGAGGAGGAGGGAGGGAGAGGAGGAGGAGGAGGAGGAGGACCCCGGGTGCGGCCTTCCATGGCGGTCCTCACGCCTGGCCTCCCGTGTGGCCCACGAGTGTGGGCCACGCCGGGGTGGCCGCGGAGACGCGGAGCTGCCCCTGCCTGGATCATGCCTGGAGGCGCTCGACCGCTGCTTGGCTCTGCCGCGCGCCATGTGCCATCTGCCTTCCCAGGGCCTCCGAGGGCCTCCCAAAGGAGGACGAGGACAAGGACGAGGACGAGGACGACGACGAGGTTGGCCCTGGACGATTTTCTGGCCCAGCGCACTCGGGGTCCACGTAGTCAACGAAGCCAAAGCCTTTGCAACTCCCATCGTCGTTCAGCATCGCCTGCCGCGGCCGTTCTCCCCAGGGGGGACGCAGGGGGGGGATCTTCCTCCTCCTCCTCCTCCTCCTCCTCCTCCTCCTCCTCCTCCTCCTCCTCCCCCTCCTCCCCCCCCTCCTCCTCTTCCCTCCTCCTCCTCCTCCTACTCGTTTCTCCCTCCTGCTCCTGCTCCTGCTCCTGCCTGCTCCTGCTCCTGCTCCTGCTCCTGCTCCTCCTCTCCTCCTCCTCCTCCTCCTCCTCCTCCTCCTCCTCCTCCTCCTCCTCGTCCTTCTCCTCCTCCTCCTCCTCCTCCTCCTCCTTCTCTCCCTCCCCCGGAGTTCCCTGCGAGCCCACGAGACGCCGTGCCCGCACAGGTCTCACAAGGCGCAACGGCGGAGCCGAGGAGGGCCGACGTCCGGCCTCTCCCGTGGGGCCGCAGAGGGCCTCGGAGGGCCCCGCGGGGCCTCGGGGGGGGGCTCTGTGCACCGGCCCTGGGCCCCCTGGGGTCCGACGAGGCCAACGGTGCAGCATCGCGGCAAGAGCTCCCTGGACCCCGCTCGGTCCGCTGCGTGCTCCGACGCCGTGACCGAGCTGCGACGGCCCTGGGGCCCGAGGCCGGGGCGCAGAGCCCGGCGCGACGGGAGTGCAGGCCCACAGGTCTCGGGCTCTACTGCCGGCAGCGTACCTCCGACAGCACGCCGCCGGCGCGGAGTGCACGCTGGAGGGCTGCTGACAAGGTGTTCCTGTGGCCGCTCGCTCCCACGATCCTCTTGGGCCTCCTCCTGCCCCTCCGTCTGCTCCGCCTGCCCCTGCCGCTGCACCTCCTCCTCCGCCGCCCTGCACGTTAGAACAGCAATGGCTGGAGAGCTGTTCGTCAGGAAGCCGGCGTGAAACAAAGTACCCCGGCAGAACACTCCTCAAAGCAGCGAAGGTGAAGAGGCGGGTCGAGGAGCAGGAGGTCGGCTGGTGGAAACATGCACTCGCAGTCCCAGGAAAGATGCAATCGGGACAAGGGGGTGAGAGCACGGCCGGCACGGCCAGGTGCACCTCAGCGTGCTCCTGTAGGGACTCGTGGCCGTCCGGCCCAAAGTGTCGGCGTCAGTGAAGCGAGAGCACGATCCCTGGATCATTTGTGAGGAAGCCTCAGGCGAAACAGCCGCCAGACCGGGCGGTCTACAGTCGGGGCGTTGACCTAAGGAACCCTAAATAAGGAACGAGGCCCTTTTTTTTCAATAAGTTAAACTTCGATTCCCCATCGAAAACCTAAAGACAACCTAAGGCAAGCTGCGAAACAATTAAGGAACACGGAGCCCCTCCCCAACGAAAAGAGTTCCTTGTTTAGCGCCCCGACTGTAGGGCTTCCCGTCCCCCCTGTGGGACTCTTCCAACACCCGCCTTTGCCACTACTAGAACCCTACAGCGAAACGCTATCAGGGAAAGACGTCGAATGGGACGCAAGGCCTTAGATCAAAGTGCGTGGTTATCAAGAAAAGCCCTCTCGGATACCTCCTCCTGCACCTGCCATTCTGCTCCTCCTCCTCCTCACCACCACCACCACCATCTTCTTCCTCCTCCTGCTCCTCCTCCTCTTCCTCCTACTCCTCCTCGTCCTCCTCCTTCTCGTCCTCCTCCTCCTCATCATCATAATCATCAAAAGCATCATGATCATCATCATGATCATCATCATGATCAGGATCATGATCAGCATCATCATCATCATCATCATCATCATCATCATCATCATCATCATCATCATCATCATCATCATCATCATCAGCATCAGCATCAGCATCAGCATCATCATCATCATCATCATCATCATCATCATCATCCCACCACCACCACCACCATCATCATCATCATCATCATCATCATCATCATCATCACATCACATCATCCATCATCATCATCATCATCATCATCATCATCATCATCATCATCATCATCATCATCATCATCATCATCATCATCATCATCATCATCATCATCATCATGTCATCATCATCACATCATCATCATCATCATCATCATCATCATCATCATCAGCATCATCATCATCATCATCATCATCATCATCATCATCATCATCATCATCATCATCATCATCATCCGCTCCTCATGCTCCTCATCCTCCTCCTCCTCCACCAGCTCCACCCCCTCCACGAGAAGGAGGGGGATGGTTGGTAGAGGGGGGGGGGGGGGGGGGCGACAGGGGCGGTGTGGAGGAGGGCATCCGGGCGGCGGCGCGGCGCCAGGGCGGCGGCACGGCCACGGCATCCCGCGGTCCTTCACGCCGCTGGGAGCCATGGCACCGAAGGGCGAGAAGAGCTTGAACAGGTCCAGGTCGGTCGTGTCGGGAGGCAGGTTCTTGACGTAGAGCTGCGGGCGGAGGCGCAGCGCGGGCGGGGGGCACGGCACGCAGGAGGGCACGAAGAGAGGCGGCGGGGCACGAGGGGGGTGCCACGAGGAGGGCGGCTGCCTGGGAAGGCGGGGAGGGGGGGGGGGTTTTCGAGAAGGGCCGGGAGGCTTCTGCGAAGGCTTCCTGGAAGAAGGGAGGGCATCCGAGATCGAAGAGGCGCCCTGCCTTCTTAGATGGTCCCCCGCTTTCGTAGAGGCCCTGCGCACGCCGCCAAACAAATAGTAAGCCGGGCGGCGGGGACTGGAGTGCAGAAGGCGAAAGAGAAGGCGTGCGAGACCAAGGTGACGCCCACAGCATCTATACGAACGCCAGTTGTATTATGGCGTAAGATTGAAAGCCTAAGGTCTCGTTCTGGACCGCAGCGAGACCAGATATCCAGGGCCGGCCGAAGAAACGCACGACAACGAGGCAAAACGGCCAAAATGAGAAAGTCCAATCCCAACCTTATCTTCTCCCAGAACCAATGACGTACACACAAACACGCACACTCACACACACACACACGCACGCATACGCACACACACAAACTCTCACTCTCTCACACTCTCTTACACAGACACAGACAGAGACACACACACACATACACCTCGTTCAAGCACGAGCGGCACACCCGTCACCGTTTCGCCTTTGCACAGCATCATCGCCCTGAACCTCCGCTACTTTACTCCTTCCCCCTCCTCCTCCTCCTCCTCCTCCTCCTGCTCCTGCTCTTGCTCCTCCTCCTCCTCCGCCTCCTCCTCCTCTTCCTCCTTCCTCCTCGAGCGCGTGCGCGCACGCGGGGAGCGGAGAGAAACAAAGAGCCTCCGACAACTGCCGCGCCTCTCCCTGTGGACCCCTCCACGACAACATGGGGGCGGATCCCAGGCCGTGGCGGCGAGTGGAAGTCGGGTCGGGCGAAAAGGGGGGGATAGCAAAGGGGGGGTTGAGAATCAGCTCGCGCAGCTGATTTTCCCGGCGCCTCCCGGCGCCGGAGGCGACAAACTATGCATCCCCGCTGGGAAGAAGTGTCCCCCCCAGCCGGCACTGTTTTGAACAGCCGACTGCCGCGGACGCGATGGCACGCGTCAAGTGCTGGAGGGGGCGAGAAGACGCTAGGCTGCTCACCAGGAAGACTCCGAAAACTCATCCTCGTTTTCGCTTGCCACGACTTGCCAGCATTTCATTGCGAAGGACCTTGTTGAGTGAGGCCAGCGGTCGTCCAGGCAGATCTTTTCGGAGCTTCTGTGCTTGGGCCACATGACTAAGGGAGACCTTCTGGATGCTTCGGGGCAGCGCCGCAGGCTTCATATAGATCCGACAACTTTCTGCACACATCCAGCGGCCCCGGCTCTGAATGTCAGGCAGGCCAACACCGTTCTTGAACGCATCATGCGACGGGCCTCCGTGTCTCATCCCGTGCGGCACCACCTTGTAGCTCAGGTGGTCGGAGGCTTGGTTGAAGGCCTTCTCGACAGCAGCCAGCGTGAGCCCTCTGAACAGCAGCTCGCCTGGCTTCGCCCGCTCGAAGACACTCTTGAGCAGGGACTCCATCCAGCGACGATCTTGCCAGGCAACCACCATCCCCGCGTCGAACTGCCGGTTCTTGGCGGGCCTGTCTCTGGTCGAGGGGGCCACCGTGATGCTCCACTTCTGGATCGAGGCGCCCGTCACGGGCGGGCATAGGTCCTCCTTGCGGAGCTCGATCGCCTCGGACGGCCTGAGGTAGCAGCCCCAGGCCAGCACGGCGAAGAACCCGAAGAGGTGCAGCTCGTGCTGGGTGAAGAAGTCGACGAACAGCCAGAGCATCTCCTCGCACGGTGGGTCCCGTGACTTCTCTGGCGCTCTTCGAGAGAGAGCGCGCAGCGTGGCCTTGGCAAGAGCACAGCAGCTGGGGGACTTGATCGGAAAGTCCAATGTCCAGGCCACGCCGAAGAGGGCATAGCGGGTAGCGCTCACTGCAGCGCCGCCCAGGAAGAGGAACTCCATGCACTCGACGAGGAGCTTGTCCCACTGCCCCACGTCGGTGACGGCTGGAACAGCACGGGCGAAGCGGACCACGGCAGCGTAGCAGTCACGATAGCGCTGCTGCGTCGTAGGGCCCACCGCCAGGCGACGTAGAAACCCAGGTCCCTCTTCAGCGTGGTGTCGGCGTCGCTGTCCTGCAGCGCGGCGATCGGCGGCGGCCAGGCCCCTGGCGGTCAGCGAGGGCGCCCAGCCCCCACTTGAGCGGCTGCCCGCCCCAGTGCCCGTCTGCCGACCCCCACCCGAGCGTGGCCTTAGTCGGGGGGGTTCCACCTGGACGAAGTGACTGACCTTCTGGCCGAGGCAGGCTGCCAAGTGCTCCTCCCACCGCTGGTCGACGCGTGACTCGCCCTCCTTCCTCCAAGCGGCTGGCGGAGCGGCATCCCACAGCACTCCCGCCAGGCGGCGGCAAAACTGAGGAGGGTAAGCCGAGGCGAAAGACGTCCTCCACCGCCAGCGAGCCGGCGCCGTCGCCGCGGCTGGGAGGTGAACCGACCCTTGCAGCACGACATGTCGCGCATGCCGGGGGCACCTGGCCTCCATGCGCTCAAGGCCCTGCAGGTTGCCCACGAGCAAGGCCGGCTTCCCCCATGCTGCGCCGAAAGCGCACATGTCCAGCTCCACGCGAACGGCAGCAGCACGCCTAAGCAGGCGCCCCAGCAGTGGCCAGCTCCAGAGATGGCTCGACCGAGGGTTCTCGATGACGAACTGAGCGCCAGCGCCCAGGCAGGCCCGCACCACTCGACACGAGGCCATCTCGCCACCGTGGCCCTCGCAGAGCCCCTCGGCGAGCCGCCATCGGCGGGCGGCGGCTGAGAGCGGCTCGGCGGCCGTCGGGGGCTCCTCGGCGCGGGCGAGCGGGCGGCCCAGGCGGCCAGCGTCTCGAAGTTCGGCAGCCCGGCCCTGCACGCTCTGACCTGCCCCGCGCCACCGCAACCTGGAGGCGAAGTCCGAGGGGTTGCGGTCGGTGCGGATGTGCCTCCGCGCCCACCGCGCGTTGGCAGCGATCTGCCATGCGGCCCCCCGTCGGAGCAGCGCCAGCAGCTCCCAGGCTCGAGCTCGCCCGCGATCGCAGGCGAGGATCTCAGACATGTTGCCCCCGAAGGAGAGCAGCACGGTGTTGTGGCTGGCACTGTCGCTGCAGTGGTCGGCGAGGCCCATGAGCGCAGCGCGGGCCTCCAGGTTGTGGATCTTATCAGGGCGCTTCCGGCTCCCAGCCCGGACGCATCTCCAGCGCCCGGGGGGGTCCCACTCGTGGCCGAGAGCAGGCGCCAGGCCAACAACCTCCACGACATCGCCCAGCTGCGACTCACTCGGGATGACGGCGACACGCGACTCCCGCAGCCGACCCAGCTCCTGATCCACCTCGCGGGCGGCCCAGGCGCTGAACGTCTCCCCGCCCGTCTCCAGCTCGCGGGTCCCGTCGGGCAGGGCACCGGCACCGCAGTCGTCCTCGTGCTCGTTCTCCAGCTCCCTGAACCTCCAGCGCTCGCGGTAGATGGCCGCAGCCCATGCCTCCCGAGGTGTCGCCCTCGTGATGTGGGCAGCGCACGCGTGCGAGCTGGAGTCGCTGCAGTAGACGCGCTCCGCGATGGGGCGGCCGAGGTCCGAGACGGCGAGAGGCAGGAAGCCCCTGATGAGCCTGACCTCGGCGAGCTCGTTGGCGTCAAACTCCCTCCACTCTCCGCGGCCGTCCCCGATGAACGGGCACAAGTACTGCAGAGTCGAGAGCAGCTCCCGCCCGGTCGAGAAGCGGTCGACGATGTGTCCAACCACCCGCCTGACGATGCCCGGGGCGGAGCCCTTGGTGAACTCGAGCTCTCGGAGGGCGTGCCACAGCCGCCGCGTGCGCGACGACCTGGGAGCGAGTGACCGTCTCGTTCCATCGATCCGCCTGCCCACCAGCTCCAGCTCCGCGGTCGGGTCGACGTTCTCGTGAGTGACGAAGCCCACGGCGTGCAGCTCCTCCGAGAGCGCCTCGTGGAGCGCGGCGGTCGCCTCGAGCGAGCTCCCGATGACGCCCCCGTTGTCGACGTAGGGCGCCACCGCAGCAAACCCAAGGCCGGGGCGCCAGTCGGCCAGTGGCTCGCCGCCGCCCCCGACCCTGCACATCGCTCGGCGCCCAGCCTCCTCCAGCGCGCTGCGGCAGAAGAAGAGCGCCCGCGACCAGCCCGCGGCGAGCCCGCCGTGCACAGCCGTGGCGTCGAACTCCCTCGCGGCGTAGATCTCGCCCAGGCGGAGACACGACGCCACGGAGGGAAGCCCGAACTGGTAGAACCCGCCCTTGAGGTCGACCCCGGCCCCCGAGATACAGACCTCGCCACCCTCCTGTCCGAGGGCGCCACCTGGCCGGGGGGGGGGCCCAAGCTGGGAAGAGTCCTCGGCGCATATTGCGAACCACCGGTCACTGAGGTTAAGGCAGCTGAGAGCACCAGGAGTAGCCAGACGGGACTTCGGCGGCCTCTTGTGGAGCTCGTTAACTGGTCCGGCATCCAACACGAGGCGGATCGCGCCCTCATCTTTCTTCTTGACAAAGGACACGCCCACGCGCCCGAGCCGACGCCGTCTGTAGGCCATGAGCCCAACGGCATCGAGTCGTCGAATGAGGTCACGCCGGCGTGGGCCTGGCTGTCGAAGAGAGGGGTCCCAGCGTGGCTGGATCGGCTCGGTGATCGCAGCTCTGGCGGCGGCGTCGAGGACGATCTTGGAGTTCGGGTTGCCGAGGTACTCCCGCGCGTAGTCACCGACGAGCTCCCTGGCGTCGATGGGCCGCGTGCGACCTTCGAGAACCTTGAGCTTGCTCGGGGCGTACCTCGCAGAGGTCGAAGTGTCCTCCACATCGTAGATGGATGAAGACCGCGCCAACTCAGCCAAAGCGCCTCCCTCGAAGGAGGAGTTCGGGATCGGCGGGTCGAAGAGCTTGACCACCCCAGCAATGTTGGCGAGCATGGGCCGTTGGCAATCCGACAGCTCATGCCCAGGAACGCGGCGGGGCAATGCGATCCGCACCCCCTGGCCCGCCCTCGAGTCGGCGAGCGCGTTGAGCGAGGCGACGGCGTCGGCCACCAGCGTCTCGGCGCGCTCACGCCTGGCCCTCCGGCGAGCGGCTCCCCGATTGGCAGGCCGCACTTCCCGCGCACGCTCGACCACGAGCGGCGGCGGGAAAGGCGACGGCGAAGGCGGCGCCGAGTCGCCCCCCTCACCAGCGCAGGGCTCAGCGCCAAGTTCAGCGCCAGCCCAAGCCGCCATGGCGCAGCGGCAGCTAGTTCTTGTCCTTCTCCTTCTTCTTGGCTGCCCGCTTCTCCTCCTCCTCCTCGGCGTATAAGCGCTGCTGCTTGAGTGCGTATGCGTGCGTCCGCTGTTCCTCCGCCACGTACCTCGCGAAGTCCCCGACGAGGACACCCCCCGCCGAGTCCAGCTTATTCGAGGCGACCATGACCGACGCGCCCTTGAAGTCTGGCGCCTTCGGGTTCCTCGTGACCGCGGCGTGGATCTGCAAGACCAGTCGGGCAGCGCGTTCCGCCCCAGCAAGCTCTCCCAGGTTCAGCTGGTCGAAATTGCAGATGTGGAGCAGCGTCGTCAGCAGGTCGCGATGCTTGTAGCTGATCTGGCTGTCGGGCCCGACGCCACTGCTTCGAACCCAGTAGTCGTGGAAACCTCACAGCTCTTCTCCCGAGGCCCGAACGGCGTGAAGAAGCTCCTTCACCGCCGAGGGCCCCTCGAACGGCCAGTCTGCCTCCAGCTTCTTGGGATCGATCCAGCTCATCTCCCCCATGGCGGACCTGAGCGACCGATAGCGACCTCCTGTCGAGTCGCGATCCACAGGAAGGATCCTCGGATCGCGCCCTGGCCCTGTCCTCTTCTCCTCCTTCCACTCGTCCACGCGCTCTGGCGCGAGCCGCTCCGCGGTGGTCCACATGGTTTCGCCGTCCTCCTCGACCCTCACCAGCGCGGTCGCATCCCGCGAGACGAAGGTGTTCGGGTTGGCGATCACTCCTGAGTCGATCACCTCCCCAAACTTCGCAAAGGCCGTGTCGGCGAACCTCCACTCGGCGGCCGAGGCCGCGGCGGCTGGGCCCGCGACGGCTGCACCATGAATCAGAGCCAGCGCCCCATACTCCCGTCTGATCTCCGCCAGCTGCTGGTCCGTGAGGGCATCGGGGCCGTAGTAGCTCGCCCTCACGCGCGCGGGCACGGGCTGTCCCCGCGTCAGTGGGATGACGTGGAGCTCCGACAAGTCCACGATCTGCGTGTGCAGGTCTGGCGTGGCTCTTGCCCATCGGGCATCCGCGATCCTGACGACCAGCATCCGCCAATGGTACTCGAAGTTCGGATCGTTTCGAAACCTCACCGCGATCTGCAGCTCGGGGATGTCTAGTGCCGACGCCATCTCGACTTAGAGCCTCGGCCGTCTGGGCCTCCACGGTGACGACGGCGGAGATCTCCGCGGCCAGTGCGCTCCCAGCCTCGCGCCCGTCGGTGCCGAGAGACGCACCGGGCGGCTCGGCCCCTGCGGCTCGAGGGCCGCGAGCGGTCTCCCCAGCGCGCCCCTGGGCGAGCTGCCAGCCTGCCAGCGCCGCGAGCAGCACCAGCCCCACGCCAGAAGCACCACCGAGGCCCCGCTTGCCGCGCCCGCGGCGAATGCAGGGAGCCCGCCGCTGGGCGGGCACCGGCAGTCCACGCGGCCCGGCCGTGACGTCTGATCTGCCAACTGCGCCCCGGCCGGGCAAGTGCAGTGGCAGTGGAAGTCCGCGGGCTGCCCTGGGCACGCAGGGCACGGCGGGCACGTGACCGCCGGGGAGCACGCCGGACAGGCCGAGCACTCGGCCACCGGCGCGCAGTCTGGGCAGCCCGCGCCAGGCGCCCAGATGCTCGAGACCCAGGTCCCCAGCAGATGCGAGAACACAGCGCACGCCACGCCCAGGCCCGCCAGGAGCATGCACGGCTGCGTGCGCTCCGGGGGCGCGCGCGCGCGCACCAGCAATTGCCGAAAAGGCTATGGAGGATACCGACAGCGAGATAACGCACCAACATGCATATATCAAGGAATGGGCCCGGCGGCGGGGCCGAAACCAGCTGCGTGCAACAAATTTTGTACCCCCCCCTTTCCCAATCCCCCCCTTTCGCCCGGCCCGAGGAAGGCAGGGGGCCCGACGCGGCGATCAAAAAACAGCACCGCGAGGAACCACGGCCGGAACCCCAGACCCGAACTTCCTGCGGCACTCTTCGAGCCCGATCTGCGAGGGCCCCCTGGCCCAAAAGACCGGGCGAAAGCGCCCGTGGCGACAAGGCTGCAACTCCCGGGCGCCACTCCCTCCCCAAGCGGGGCCTTCGGGCCGGTCAACTCGGGCCCCCCGCGGCCCTTCGGGGGGACGATCCTGGCACCCCCGGAAAGAAAGCCCTCGGCGAGGCGGGGCTGACAAGACCCGCCGAGGGACCCGCCCACGAGAATCGGCTATACGCAAGAGTGACTCTGGGTAAGAGTGACCTTTGGTGCGCGACTTTTGGGGGGCCGCGGGGGGACCAAACCTGGGCGCGCAAGCAGCTGCTACTGCTTCGTTTTCAGCCATCTGGGGACCCACCTGCGCCCGCACCAAAGGTCACTCCGGCGAAAGGTCACTCTTACGACTATAGTCGAGAGAACGCCCGAGAAAGAGCGGCCTGGCGACGACGGCGCGGGCGGCGGCGGCGGCGCGGAGGGCAGCGCCGACGGCGCCGAACACGGCGGCGGCGGCCCGCGCTCCTGGCACTCCTCCGGCGCTCGCCCACCGCCGAGCACCCCCGCGCCCTGGCCGGGCGACGGCGCTGGAGCGACGGAGAGAGAGGGGCCCCGCGCGAGGCGACGCAACGACCTCACGCCGTGGCCTGCGCGGGCCACCGCCGCGGCACGCTGCATGGGAGGCGAGGGCATTGGCGCGCGACCTATACGCGAGCAGCTTGCGCGCCAGTGTCGGCGCAGACGGCCCCGTTGTCTTGCGTCGCTCGTCTGTGTCTATCCGCTGCTCCCTGGCCAGGCCCATCCTGAACCCATGAGCTGCGTGTGCTAAGTGCTAAGACGACGCAAGGACGAGGATAAATTCGGGCGAGGAAACATCGGAAATCTCTGTAGTCTGGCGGCTCTGGGGGATGTATCGGGCGCCGCGGCCTTCTCAGAACGCTCTGTAACGCTCTGAGGGCGTTCCAGAACGCTTTGGAACGGAGTTGACCTTGTCCAAACCCCGTCCGATACGTTCTCCGAACCTACCAACGAGAACGCGGCGTATAGTGGGTGCAGGATGGGCCTGGCCAGGGAGCAGCGGATGTATACGGTGGAGGCAGTGGATATGGAATCCTTACATAAGGAATGAAAGGTCCGGGGGCCTGTGGAACTCCAATCAAAGCTTAGCCATGGATATCACCGCCGCCCTCATCAGATAAGGAATCCTCCAGGGTCTGCAGCCTCCTGGGCACATTCCTTAACCAACGCCCCCACTGCATCGGGGAGGGACGGAACCCCCTTTAGTAAAACGTGGTTTAGTGAAAACGACCTCGGGCCCAAACCTTGCGGGCGCAAGTCTGGAAAATGACGGCCGCGGCGCCCTTTCGAAAACCGATAACGGACAATTCACGAATCGACGTGTCAGGGTGGGGGTTCTGTCCACCCCCGACTACATAGGTGTCGTCGCCCGACCTTCAGGCCCTGGAAGAGCGTCTCGATGGACCCTGCCATGCCAGGCTTGCCGCCGCCCATGGCGCAGGCCTGCCGCCGCCGCCGCCGGCAGAGGAGAAGGCGGCAGGGGAGGGGGGACGTCGAGGTTCCACGTTCGGCGTTTTTCAGGCGTTATCGATGCTCGATGTTCGACGTTTCCTCTTCGATGTTCGTTGCTCGGGGCTCGAAGCGCTCGAGGTTTCGAGACCTGCCGCCGCCGTCGGGGGAGGGCGAGGGGGGAGGGGAAGGATGGATCGAACGGGAAGAGATCGGCCCTGCCAGCGTCGAAGCTCGAGCTTAAGACCACATCTGTTCCGTCGCAGCGCGGCAGAGGTGATCCGCACGCGCGGTCTAGTGGGCCAGGCTCGGGCACGCACTAAGTGTCTGGCTGCAAGAGAGCGGCATGGTCGGAGAGCGGCTGCGGAGGGCGGGAAAAAGGGGGAGGGCACTCACTGCACGAAAACATGCGTCGGGAGTGGCTGTTGAAGCCAACCTGTGCTGAGGCAGCCTGGCAGTGGACGCAGAGCGGCATCACGGCCACACCCAGGGGCTGCGGCAGAGGCTGCAGGCGCAGAAAGCGTAGAGCAAGTCGAACCAGTACGGGAAGAGGAAAGGCGAGCGTCTCCACGGAAGCGAGCGGCATCCAGCGTCCAGGTGTCCGACAGAAGGCCGTGGGTGACCGGCTTTTGCTGCAGGCGCGGCGCCAGCGGGATGCGGGAAAGCCCAAGCGCCCGCAAGGGCAGGGCCAGCGACCAGCTCGCCGCAGCAAAATGCTGCATACTGTCACGCTGAGCTGCTGAGATCTGGGCTGCGGGTCTTCCAGCTGCGCCGCCGAAGGCTGCATAGCAAGCAGCAACCTGCCAGGGCCTGCTGAGCTGCAGAGCCCCAGCTGCTGAAGTGACGCAGCACTGGGAGGTGCAGGCAGGGGCCACTAGACAGTCCAGCAGGGCAGGAGGATGAGGAGGCGGAGGCTGAGGAGGAGGAGTAGGAGGAGAAGGAGGAGGAGGGGGAGGAGGAGGAGGAGGAGGAGGAGGGGGGAGGAGGCGAGGAGGAGGAGGAGGAGGAGGGGGGGGGAGGAGGAGGAGGAGGGAGGAGCGAGAGGAGGAGGAGGAGGGAGGGAGGAGGAGGAGGAGCGAGGAGGGAGAGGAGGAGGGAGATAGGAGGGGAGGCGGAGCAGGAGGGGGAGGGGGGGGGTGGGGAAAAGGGGAGGAGGAGGAGGAGGAGGAGGAGGAGGAGGATGGGAGGGATGGGGAGGAAGAGGAGGAGGAGGAGGAGGAGGAGGAGGAGGAGGAGGAGGAGGGGCCAGGGCAGCCGAGCAGGTGCGAGGGTGCAGTGCTGAGCTGCCGGGGCCGCGCGGCGGGGCTGCCGCCAGAGGTGCTGCTGGGGCGGCCGGCAGGGCTGCCCGGAGCCGGGGCTGCTGCGCAGGACACCACCAGCAGGGCGACACGGGCCGCGAGGCGCCGCACGCCGGCGCGGGGACGCCCCGGCGGCGGCCGGGCGCGGGGAGGCGGGAAGGAGCGAGGCCAGGAACAGGGAAACGCCGCACCACCACCACCACCATCAGCGCGGGGAGCCACGCCAGGGGGGGCAGGGGAGTCGAGGGTCAGAGTTTTCGGGCGTTCTCCTTCGGCGATGCTCAAGCCCTGGGATGTCTTGCAGCAGCTGCGCCTCGCCGAAAGCTTTCTGGGGGTGCCAGAATCGTCTCGAACGGCCGCCCGATGGCTGGAACCTCCGACGCCGATCCGGCTCGAAAAATCCCGCTGAAAGATTGGGTCTAGGGCTCTGGCCGTGATTTTCAATACGATAGAACTGTTTCGCAACGTCGGATCTCGAGGGAGGAGGGAAACGAGGGGAGCGAAAGGGGGAGGGAGGGGAGGAAGACGGGAAGACAAGGATGAGGGGGTAAACGGGGAGGGAAAGGGGAAGGAGGATAAGCTGGGTGCGCTCGCGCCATATATCTGATATCTGACACACTACCCCTAGATTCGCCCTAGATGTGCGCAATGAGGGGAGGAGCAGGAGGAGGAGGAGGAGGAGGAGGAGGAGGAGGAGAAGGAGGATGAGGAGGAGAAGAAGGAGGAGGAGGAGGTGGAGGAGGAGGAGGAGAAGGAGGCGGAGAAGGAGGAGGAAGAGGAGCAGGAGGAGAAGGAGGAGGAGGAGGTGGAGGAGGAGGAGGAGGAGGAAGGAGGAGGAGATGAAGGAGGAGGACGCGGAGGAGGAGGAGGATTCTATTCTACCGTAGCACCCCGCAGATGCGGATCAGAGTGAGGGGGCGGTGGAGACGTCGGCAGTTTGCGAGACTCTGGAGAAGCCCGCCGCAGGCGCCAAAGTTTCTCATAGTATACAACGAGCCCGCCGCAGGCGCCGATTTTTTCGTTGAACCATGTGGGTACGTCGCTGGTTGGTCGCGGGTGGGTCGCTGTTGGGTCGCGGGTGGTTCGCGGGTGTAGAGGCAGAAAATCCACTCCATAATAATCACCCCGACAAGCGAAACCATTTAGTAAACGCACACAAGGAATGAATCGAACAGGGCAGTACTGTTTTGTAAACGCCCACGGCCGTTTCAGAAACGTCACTTGTCGGGTCCGGGTGGTTTTTCCTCGAGGGTGGGTCGCAGGGTGGGTCGCGGGTGGGTTGCGGGGTGGGTCGCGGGTGGGTCGCGGATGGGTCACGGATGGGTCGCGGAATGGGTCGCGGGTGGGTCGCGGGATGGGTCGCCGGTGGGTCGCGGGTGGGTCGCGGGTGGGTCGCGGGGTGGGTCGAGGGCGGGTCGTGCCAACGACTCTCGCGGCCCCGGCAGGTGTGCCCTTGCAGTGCGGCGGCGGCATGCCCTGGTGTGCCAACGCCTCTCCCGGCCCCAGCAAACGCCTTGGTAGCTGAAGGAATTCCTAAAGATGCCGAAGGATTAGGACTCCCTAAAGGCCCCTATATAAGGAAAACCTAGAGATTCCTAGGGATTCTCAAGGATTCCCTAGGGTTCCTAAGGAGCCCTAGAGATTCTTAAGGAAACCCTAGAGGTTCCCAAGGAAGCCCTGAAGATTCAGAAGGAAGCCCTAGAGATTCGTAAGGAATCCCTGGCGATTTCTAAGAAATTCCATAGATACTCTTATGGATTCCATGGAGATTCCCATGGATGCCCTGGAGATTCTTACGGGTCATAGAGACTCTCATGTATTCCGTAGAGATACCGATGCATTCCACCGAGATTTCTATGCAGTCCGTCAATATTC